CCCCAAAACCCCAAAACCCCAAAACCCCGAGTAATAGCTTATTGCAAATTTCAATAATTTTTAAAATTAATCAATATTTGTCGAATCAATGTAATCAATAACTTTAAAAGCCATCATTTGACATCATTTCTAAAGCTATTTAGGAATTGAATCACGGGCTTGCGGAACCACATTCTAGGGTTGAAATATGATTCAAAATGGCTCACATGAGCACCTTTCTTGGTGGTAGCTACCAATACATAAGGATTCTTCATTGATTAATCTAAGTCTAGTTATTCTTTTCCAATAACTGGATCATCTTCACTGTAAAAATACATGATTGGAACTCTTATCTATGGTAATATATGAATAAAGGAGCCATTATGGTAGTAATCTTCTGAACTTTTGTATTTGTTCATTTTTGCAATAAGATCATTGAACTCATCTACACCTGCATTTGAATTCTCCCCAATAAAGTTATCTATATCAACATCAAATTTTTCTTTAAACATTCCTCTTAAAACACGTGCATTGTTATAGAATAATGTTCTTAACTTCTAACCAAAATGTTTATAGAAGATTCCATTGTAAGTGGCTTTTAACTATTTAATACCTAACCATATTCTCATAGGAGAACAAACAGCTGCTGCTGCAGTTATAATTTTATGCTTGTCTCCATCTTCTCCCAGATAGTGACTTAATATAGATCCAGTGAATGAAATTGCTACGTAAAAGATTTGTCTGATCTTTTATTTATCCTCATTGACGCAGTAGTTATTGTAAAGATACTCAACTGGCTCACGAATGTCTTAAGCAGATGAAGCACAGTATATATAGGGTGTCTAAAAAAATGTAAGAGATTTATTAGCTTACAGTCAATGGTATCCCAGATGCACCTCTTTGGCCAATAATTACAACACTATAGCCATTAGCTAGGCCTTCCTCTGCAACACTTATATTATAAGCAAAATTATACTCTCCTCCTAATCCTGGGGAGATGATCAACAAAGGTTTTTGATCGTTTTTTGGTGAAATCTCATTCACCCAGTCAATAGCGATCATGCCTCCATCTTTGAAAGTAAAAAGCTCTCTCACGAACTTTATCTGTGTTCTACCTTCAATCACCTTAGCTAATTTCTGATGGACCAGACTTTAGAAGAAGTTGTTGAACAAAAAGATGCACTGCTTGAAATTCATGTGAATCAATGTTTTGTTTTCTAAAGCTGGCTTCAATACTTTGCTGTCAAGTTTGTAGTACAAATTGATTTTTGATGTTTGAACAGACTTTAAGTACAGATAGAATCCAATAATAATAGTTCCTATTATTACCAAGATTGAGGCAGTTATTGGACGATAATTAGCTGTTTCAATAATAAAGTTGCTGTAATCGCTCATCATTAAATTCTATAACTATAATTTTTATCTTTATTTCAGAGATGAAGTAATCACTAAGTACTTGATATTAATTTCATCAATATTTTGCTGTTAATTTCTTATCATAATTCATATTCGATTCAAATTACTGAATTAGGGGTTTTGGGGTTTTGGGGTTTTGGGG